CGAACAGTTCTTTTCAGATCACCAGCAGCAACGACGCGTTGATTGAATTTAATGATGACTCAGATAAGGAACTGTCCGAAGAAGATGCCGAACAGACTATGGAGCGTAATGGGGATCACAAGAGCGTATCGCAACCCAAGCATTCAGTGTAGGTATTCCGTATTTATTGTACTCTGCTGAAATACATATCTCTTTAAACCGAGATTTCAAATTACTTTTTTAAACGGCGAACAATGCTTTTGAGATACTGGAATATTCGTGAATATTTCATGATGGGTGAATTCATGTAATCAAGATCAAGGTTACGAGTCTGAGACACATATCCAGATGAGATGATCGCATGAGTTATCCGTCGGTGATAATCTTTCAGAGTGATTCGAGTGGATTTATGTGATGCGGAATTGTCACAAATGATTTGTAAAACGCTATCGGTTGATAAAGAACCAGCGAGGAGTACGGCAACTCGATTGCTGTCCACTGAAGACAACTTTCTTGTGGCGTAAGTGTTTGGTGTTTGCTGTGGATTTATGCTGCATTAATATCGTTCTCGATGATTGCTATTTTCATATGTCACTAACTACGGCAAGAGAATAAATGTTCACAACAACAAGCGAACATTGCAGACAAATCTCGAGTACTGATCGAAAATATTTGCAAAAGTCAGTGGATAATTTTTTTGATATGTGTGATTTGGCGAAACAAACTTATGATGTGATTGGCAGATATCAACTGAATAACAAGGACGAAGCAGTCAGTAAAAAGCGCATGAAAACAACCGTTAAAAATTAGTCATTAAAATAATCACTTTTGATTCTATTGTTATGTTTTGTTATCATTATTATTGATATGATTACCTGGATTAAGATTAATTGCTATGAGTTGATAATATTAATTAACGTAAACAATTATGTTAATAACACCTGGATTACCTGGATTCAGGTGTTATCAAGGTATGATTAAAAACAATTATATCAATAATAACTGAATCCAGGTAATCTAGATATTACTGATATAATTGTTGTTATTGTTTTTACTGTTATTGAAGTGAATGTTATTGATGTTCTGATATTACTGTGAATGCGTTTAGATTGTTTGTTAATTGTTATGTTTTGTATTGATATGAATTTGTATATTTGTTATGCGGAATGAAGAGTTTATGCGAAATTGTTGGTGTTGCTTATAAAGGTTTGGTGAACGAGGAGTACCAAAATGTTGTTTACTGCTTATGGTTGAGACTTCGGAAACGATCGTTATTGTTATTGTTATTCTTTATATGTGAACTGCCGATTATTATAAGAATCGCTTTTCGTTAATCGAATGATATTAACTGCAGAAATTGGATTCGCTTCAATTTTGGTAACGAACAAATAATTATCCTCTGAAGATGGCTTGTCGAATGCGATGGGCTATGGTCAGTTCAGTTGCGGATGAGTCTTTAATGCCAAAGTTGAGGTTAGTTTTTGATTTGTCAGTGGATCTTATCATATTATGTCATATCACTGCTTGTTTTTGTCTTGAACAGTTGATAATATATATATTCCATATTTTAGAAGTTCCATTTGCTTCAGATAGTGTGTTCGTTTTTGAGTGCAGTGTATATGTTTAGTATTCTTTTAATTGTTTTAATTCGCAAAAAAAAATCTGTAGTGTTTAATGGAGATATTGAATGGAACGAAATAGGATTTTTACAGAGAATTCGGCGTGTGGTTTGTGAATGTATTGGAGAAAGAGAGTGATGCAAAAGGAATGAGTTGTGCATTCGAGCCAGAACCAGAGG